TATACGGTGTAGCTATTGTTTCATATACAACTATTTGAGTGGATGGTAATCCGTCAGTTTGATCTGAAGGTTTTGGTAATGTATTTGCCATTCCTTGTATTTTCAAACTTTGTTCAGGAGGGTGTATGGATTTAATAATGCTAATATACCTCGTATAGAATTACTTCCGCATATAATAGAACAAAATAATTATACCAATCTTTGTCTTCATACACTTGGAAAACAGTCTAATAGAATAGAAAATTTACTACAACCTCCTATTCACAAAGAGAAAAAACAATTATTTTTCAAACCACCTCCTGATTTAAACAAAGAAAAATTTCTTATAGGAGAAGATAATACAACCCTTATGGAACAACTAATTTCTAAACTATCTAAATTAGAAATAAAAGAACCCAAACCAACAATAGTGATATCTACTCCTATTCTCCCAGATAATGATAAGGGAAAAACAAAAATCCCTGAACATGATAATATGACTTTACAAGAAGAAATGCTTTTCCAAACTAATGAGACCATAGAACCATCTATAGGACCATCTATTGCCAATACAATACAAAATATGCAAAAGGCATTCTCAGAAATACAACTAAATCCAGAAAGTATTAATCGTATCAATTAAAATAAGAATTGGCAACCAATAAATGCTCGACCGTATTATAAAAGACCAACTCCCGTTGATATACAATTAGAAGAAGACCTAACAAGTCATACTTCTACATATTCAGGACGGACTATTATAGACTGGAATATAGACGGTATTTCTGATCATAGAATCCTAGATACAATGAAACATATGACTATGTATGCATCTGCTTGTAAAATGGCTGGAAGCCATGACCAAGAAATAGCCAAAGCTATAGTCTCAGGATTCACTGGATGGCTGAGAGGATGGTGGGACTCATACCTAAATGAACAAGTAAAACAACAAATATTAACAAATACTAGACAGTGGACAGCAAAAAACGAACATAACCAAGATATGGTATATTCTGAGAGTGATGCTGTTAATTCCTTGATATATACAATTGCTCTTCACTTCATAGGAAATACTTCAATACTTGCAGCTAGAACAGCTGATCTTCTATCCAACTTAAGATGCCCTACATTATCACATTATAAATGGTACAAAAATGTCTTTTTCTCTCGATTACTTATACGAGAAGATAGTAACCTTGATCATTGGAAAGAAAAATTTGTTGCAGGATTACCCTACCTATTTGCTGAAAAAGTTAAGGAACGCCTCAAAAATAAAAATAGTGGTGTCATAAATTATTCCCAATTTACATTAGGAGAATTATCTTCAGAAATATGCGCCGAGGGCCTAGCCTTGTGCACAGATCTAAAACTCAAAAAGCAACTTGATAAACAGAATCTAAGTGGCAAAAAGGAATTAGGAGATTTTTGCCAACAATTTGGCTATCATGTGGACCTAGGCTATATAGATAAAACCAAACCGCATAAAATACATAAAGTATATAAAAAGAAAAAACATCGAAATAAACCAGACAAAACCTACAAGTCTTTTCCAACTAAACAGAAAAAATATAAGAAATTCACAAAACGATTTGCTTCTAAACTATCTCAAAATAAAAAAAAATTACATGTCTGCTATAAATGTGGTAAAATAGGCCATTATAAAAGCCAATGCAAAGTTAAACAAAAATTAGACTCTATTACTTTGGATGACTCCATCAGAAATAAAATCTATGATATTATTCAATTATATGATTCATCAGATAGTTCAGAATCAGATACTACTTCTTCTAATAGTGATACTTCTTTCATAGGCACAATACATAATGATGACTTTTACTGGTCAGACAATAGCTCGGATATAGAAAATGATAATGAAATATGCAGATGCCCTATTTCATCCTCTGATATTCATACATTAACAAAAGAAGATAATCTTATTCTAGACTTGATAGAAAAAATATCCGACCCCAATGAGAAAAGAGAAATAATTACTCAGTTTATCAATTTAACTAAAACAAAAACAAAACATACACCATTGATTAAACCTCCTGATAATTATAATTTTTCTGATATTATGAAAAGGATCAGTCAGCATGAAGCTACCCAAAAGGAACCCGCTATTGCTAACCTCAAAGCTGAAGTCAATACTGTAAAAATAGAATTATCTCAATTAAAAACAAGGATTCAAATCCTCGAACTTCATAATAATACTTCCGAAGTACATACTGAAGAAGACATAGTAGAATTCAATCATTTACTCAAGTCATATCATCCCAATGATTATTTAGACCAAATGACTTTTGGTGAATCATCATCCAATAGGCATTCGGTAAATATAATAAATAGGGTAATAACCCAAAAATGGTTTGTATTAATAACTATCGTAATAAATGACGAATTCGAGTTTCAATCCTTAGCATTAATAGATTCAGGTGCTGATTTAAATTGTCTTAATGAGGGACTAGTTCCTACCAAATATTATGATAAAACTACTCAAATTCTCAATACAGCTGATGGTAGTAGACTATTTATCAAATATAAACTTTCAAATGCAAAAATATGTACGGAAGGACATTGCTTCCCTACCCCATTCATCATGATCAAAGGACTCAGTCAAGCTGAAATCCTAGGTGTCCCTTTTCTTACTTTATTATATCCAGTTACAGTTTCCCATACTGGTCTGGAAACAAATACACATGGTACACCTATTAGATTTGAATTTCTTGATAAACCAAAAATTAAAGAAATCAATACTGTTAAATAGAATATGAAATACAAAGAAATTTTTTTAGGATCTTTACAACTTGAAATCAAACATAAGCTCATCAGCGAAAAGCTCCAATCTCCTGAGATAATACAGAAAATACAACACCTCAAAAGCTTTATTGAAAAGGAAATATGTAATGAATTACCTAATGCCTTTTGGCATAGAAAACAACATATTGTAGGATTACCATATGAACCTAGTTTTAGTGAAACAAAGATACCAACAAAAGCTAGACCAATTCAAATGAATACTGAATTATTACAAACATGTCAAATAGAAATAAACAACCTACTCCAAAAGAAATTAATACGTCCCAGTTCTTCTCCTTGGAGTTGTTCTGCCTTTTATGTCAATAAAAATGCTGAACAAGAACGAGGTGTCCCTCGATTGGTCATCAATTATAAACCTCTTAATAAAGTCTTAAAATGGATTAGATATCCCATTCCAAATAAAAAAGATTTACTTGATAGATTATTACATGCTGTAATCTTCTCCAAATTCGATTTAAAATCTGGTTTTTGGCAAATACAAATAGAAGAAAAAGATAAATACAAAACAGCCTTCAATGTCCCTTTTGGACAATATGAGTGGAACGTTATGCTTTTCGGCCTTAAAAATGCTCCATCAGAATTTCAAAAAATAATGAATGATATCTTCAATCCCTTTTATAAATTTATGATTGTATATATTGATGATATTTTAGTCTTTTCTGAATCAATAGAACAACATTTCAAACACCTTCATACTTTTATTCACACAGTAAAAACATCTGGTTTAGTGG